ACCAATAAATAACGATGATAAAGTGGTTCACAGAATATCACGTCGACCTCGAGGTAAGCAAAAGTGAATTTTACAAACTAAAGGTGGTAATACATGTTTTTTGCAGCAATGACTGTTAGTAGTAATTTCATTCCAGCTCGACGAGATGCTTGTGAAGAGGAGTTGGAGGAACTCTCATCGACAACACGCCATATGACAGTATCATACTATTTATTACTTTTTTCATTCACTTAGCTCTTTTATAGGTCCGTCTTGTGTCCCCAATAACACAACGAGGCATTATGGGTATCTTCATTGGCTCTTACAGTAGATTATTGACATCTTTCACGGAAGACGACATCAACATGGATATACGCCGCCAGTTCAACCGTTGGTGCCGAAAGATACAAAGGCCCGTGCTCCCAGTTGCAGACTTCATTCTCTTTGACTTTCCAGATGGTCTTTCAGATATCGATGGGAAAGTTGAGGATTGGAACTTTCTCACACCTGACCACTTGCGCGATGCAATCCTATTGTCCGAAGCACTTATGCTCGAAGCTGGCCATGTCGTCTTCATCCTACCGAACGACCCCAACTGGATGTATGAGCTTATGACATGCGCAACAGAAGTTCATTTCAAGTCATTCTCTTCCGAGTGCATCATGGATCCTATTGGCGTTGATACGAGGGGCGTCCAAGGGAAGCCTGAAAAGGTGAGTATGTATTTTATATTTTTATCTAATTTCTAAACATTTTTATTTTCCAAGTTATGATGTGGACCTATCATGCCTTCTGCAGAAACACATATGATGGGTTTCGTGATAGCAAACGTGCAGCATGAGTTTTGCCTGGGTACGACAGTTCCACTAACATCATACCCAACCTTGTGGATGAGCAGATCCGCAACACGTTTCCAGGGTACCGATTCCGAACTCCATCGGCAATGCAAGTCTTGCTTGAGCTCTATTGCCCACCAGATGGTGTTGTGATTGATTGCACAGCAGGTAGCGGTTCTATGGTGGAGGCAGCACGTGACTCTAGTAGGTCGGTGTTTGCTATTGAAGAACATCATTTCTTCAAATGCCGGCTCAGAGGATTTCGTGAGTTGCCTTCAACCTCAAGAAGGTAAATTATGTTTATTAAAATTTCAATATATATTTCATTCTATTTTATAGATCACAGTCACCTGGAGTTTCTAGAATTGGAGGCTTTGGAAGTCTCCCTGACTATGCAGAAGCCATGGCTCAACATATGCAAGGTGAATCTTCCCCACAATACCAATATAGGAGGAAGTATAAAAGAAATCATTATGTTGATGATGAGGCAGAAGAAACTTAATTGCATCCTTAAATAAAATGGAAAGCTTGTTATATGTTAGATGTCAGTGAAAGTGTCAGATGTCAGTAAAATTGTCAGATGTCAGTGTCAGTGTCAGATACCATAATTATAGATTATCATTCTTGCTTGTCACCATCACTTTGTAGCACTTGTGTGTTGCCATCTCCTCCTTCAACATTTTGTAAACAATTGTATGTGATATGATAGCACCTTCTAGAACAAAGTATGTTACCTACAACTAATATCATTTTATTATATTTTAGTGACAATACTATAGTATAGTAAAGTAATTCTAAATTTTATATTCCACTATAGGGTGGCCTAAAAACCCCATATTTTGCAATAGCCAATGCAGTGTTTCCCAAGGGGATGTTGTTCCTCACTATGAAGCGATAGTGGGTATGTGTCTGTAACTCATTCTTGAATCTATTGTACATCCACACGTGCACATTTTCCAAACCTGCCGTTGGGCAATTTTTACAGTGCTCAAGAAAAGTTTGTAAACCCATAGAGCCATTTGTCTTGTCCAAGAAAAAGTAGCATATTGGACACCGAATGTAATAGTATTCTATGCTTTCAAGTAGTCCTACCATGTCAGGAGCAAGATCTTGCAAAAACATGTGGCATTGCTCTTGAAGCGCTAGAGGCAATCCCTCTCTAGTAGCAAAATCTGGAATTTCACATATAGGGAGCTCTAATTTAGCTTCACTAGAGCCCTCGGCAGAAAAAGGATTGTTATGTGGAGGTGAAGGTGGAATGTTAGTAGAACTTGGGGATGGAGGTGGAGATTGATATGAAATGCTGGGGGGCCAAGTACGATTAGCAATGGGTCCCCTTTGAGCCATTTCAATATAAACTTCTAAAGAGCTCAAGGAGAACACAAAACCTACAATGACTATAACTTTTCTAGATATTTTATATACTAAGTTTTAGTCTTGGGAATGAGGTTTATTTATTATGACACTGACAATACTTAGATTCTTGGGAATGAGGTTTATTTATTATGACACTGACAATACTCAGATTCTTTAAATGTCAGTCTTGGAAATGGGGCTTCATAATCATAGCTTTCTTGTAAACATAAGAGCTTCTAGAATTTTAGATTATCGTGTATACACATGCTCTATCATTATGATGAATCTTACTTTGCTACACATATATTCTTTTCTACACATGCCAAATGTCTAGGGAAATAAATTGCAAGGAAATATAGACCATATTATAGTGGTAGAGCACGTTGGCACGCTACCATTCTCTCATGTGAGATTGCTTTTTAGTCTTGGAAATGTAGATAAAGTTGATTCTTTGATGTGATATTACTTTTGAGTCTTTCGAAAGATTTTGATTTCTTTTATCATTATTTACAAACAATTCCCAAAATTTTTTAATGAGGATTCACTGCAAAATATACCTTGGTCTTATCATATGAGAGGATTGCGATATAGGCAAGCAATAGAGTTTTTAATATGAATTAATATGTAAATTACAAATGTCATGGAAAGTTTTATGGAGTAGATTTCTTGGTGCTTTCCGTTGTGCTATTCATTTCTTCATTTCTCTTACTCTGGACTGTTGTTTCAGAAGTAATAGGAGCATTTTTATCAATCGTGATAGTGGTCTCCACATTCCCAGATGGGTAATAAGGACCAGGAGTGTAATATGGAGATTGTGGTAGTGAAACAAAATTAACATTCTCACATTCCTTTGTACTACAACTCTTACTCACAGATCTTGTATTTTCCTTGCTTCCCATCTTCTCAAGAACCCTAAAAAATCTTTCAAATGAAGGAATAGTATCTACAGCTGTAAAAGTATTCAAAATATTAAGTAGTCAAATCAAATATGACAGCTGTAACAGTTGTCATAATAAAATAATATAGTTTTATAAAAGATAGGTTCTCATGAACTTTGTCTTTTTTAAACAATTCAATCTTATAGAAACTTTTAACTTAGATATTTACGTATTTTAATATTTTAAAGTTTGCTAGAACCTTCATTTGTTCAATTTAGATCTCCTTTGTAATATTTCTTATTGACTATGTTGACTTGAGTTGACTTGTGTTAAATTGAGCTCAACTCAACTTTGGACCATCCCCGCCACATATTATGATGAGTCATGCTTGTTAAATTTGAAACTTGCAACCATAAAGTGCAATGGTCTTTCTAGATTCCTGGCTTAGCCACACTGCTTGGATCCCCTTGCCACAATGTTTCAACTACTTTTAACAAGTTTGTTTCCTTTTGAATCTTAGGTTTACTAAAATGTTTAAAGCTGCCACTTAGGGCAAAAACCCTAGCTGCCAGTAGGACAGCGTAGCTTATGGAGGTGGATGGGGAAATCCGGGAAGTTGAACGGCAGATTAAAGTGGTTGAGCGCCAAATTATCGCGGTTGAGGGGCAACTCGAGCAACCAAATGATCCCGAGAAGGAGAAGCGGCTGTTCGAAAAGGAGAAGCAGCTGCGCAAGGAGAAAAAGCAGCTGCGCAAGGAGAAAGAGCAGCTGCGCGACAAGGAGCTCCTCTCATTGAGGTCCAAGAGGAAGTCCCAGGGTAAGCTGCTACTTCCTTTGTTGGATGTTTCCTTTGCCCTGCACTTGTCTCACTTGTCCATTGGCTATGGCGGATCGTTTGATTGCTGCCTGTGGCACTGTGGTTTCTTGAACGGCACCTTGTTGTGGTTGGCTGTTTTGTGTACACAGATTGTTATTCTTTACTGCGCTGCCTGCATGCGTTGTAACCAGTTTCTTGGTTTTTCTTACAAAAACAGACGTTCATGTTCACAAGCGGCTTCGTCCTAGCGTGCCTTTCCTGGTACCGAGAAATTTTTCACATGCGCTTCCTTTCAAGGGGAGAGACACAGAAATGGCTACGGTTGCAGAGCATGTGGATAAGTATTACAACTCCATTTGCTTTGCAAGTGGGGTTATCCAGCGTGCTAGCATGCTGTTTGTATTATTTGAAGGCCTTAGTGGAGTCGGAAAAACTAGATGCTTGATGGAGATTCACAGGAATGTGGAGGGCTATTTACGAAGTGCAAAGCTCAAGGAACTGTATCTGGCTAAGGCGGTCACCCAACTCTTCATCAGCTTCAATTGCACAGCTGTGGCAGACAGGAAGCCGCATTACGTCACTCCCTTCTTTGCAAAGGCCGTGAAAGACAAGGGTGGAAGAGCAGCAGGCTACATGTTTATGAGGGCATGTTTACTAGCGGGGGGTATCTATGGTCAGTCTTTCGTGGAACTGGATGATCGAACTCAACAATGGATACTGTATGGCAAAGAGCCCATGACCGTATTGGCGAATAACATCAGGGTGGCACTTGGGTTGCAGCCGTGCCAGCGGATTTTCGTGTACCTCTTGATGGATGACCTGCACGCCGTAACTGAAGGCACGCCGTAACTGAAGGCTCATTCGTGCATGGAATGTGGGATTACCTTAGCACCTTCATGTCCACTGACTTTCGACCGGCTCCATATCAAACTTGCCAAATGGTGATACTACCGGTTGCTGCTGCCACTTTGGTGCCATCCTGTGGATGCTTTGGCCTGTCAGACTGGCTGGCCTGCCAGATCAAACTAGAGCCCCTCAGCGAGGTCTCAGCAATAGATGTTCTGAAGGAGGCAATACAGACTAGTCGGCTCACTGAATGCCTGCCAGTCATCCGCAACGTTATACGTGATGTGAGCTACCTGCCCCGGCTCTTGCAGTATATATATGAAGCTTGGAAGCTAAGACCCGAATTGGATAGCGCAGACTTGCGTGATCTTGAGGGTCACTTACGCAGATGTTTGGAGTTGAAGCTGAGCATGTGGACGCACGAGATCCTGGCAATAAGCAATACCGATGCAGTGAGACGAATGGTGAGGTTGTGCTTGACAGGCGACGCCGCAGACATGGGGTTTATGGAGACAAAGGAGTGCACGTATGGCTACGTCACCTGGAAGCGGTGTGGAAGCAGCGGATATACGTTCCATTAGCCAAGCTTGTTGCTGGTGGGGCTTGCCAAGGAACTGAGGGTGCATCGATATCTCACTCTTTCGGATATTAGCGCGTTGACGAGTGATAACTTTGAGCTGCCTCTTTTGGACATGATTCACGCGCGAATGAGGCTTCATGCAGGAAGTGAATGCCTTCTTTCAGATCTCTTCCGCAGGGCATGTGGCTCGAATAAGGCAATGACAGCGAAGATGCAGATCGCATCTAAGATCGTTTTTGGGGACGAAGCTGCACAGTTTTACGTGCTGAACAGGAGTAAAAACGGCTTCGAGCACTCGGGTGATGAAGGCATGGTGCTCCAATGTGGTACTGACTTTCAGCGTCCATTTGGCAACAGTGAACAATCTGTGATTACAAAAACGCACACGAACTCTCTGGGCATTGACATGAGGGTGTTTGCAAGACATGGAGGCACGCTTTTGCGACATGATGGGGCTGATTTTGTTTCTTTTGCAGACAGCGAAATTGAAATATGGGCCCAGGCGAAAGGCAGGACATCCCCTCTAGGCTGGAGCCAAGTAATTGAGTGCATTAAAGTGTGCTTCCAAGAATGTTTCAACCTCGAACCAGGTGTGAAGAAGTTCTGTGTGGTCTTTAGTCTGCACGGTTTCACATTCGAGAAAGTGGATCTCTATACACTTTTCAAGGTAAGCCAGGCTTCATTTCTGTTATGAAACTAACTATTGACCTTCAGGAGGAGGGGATCAGAATGGGAGACACAGCCAAGTTCAGCAAGATGTATGAACACACTCTCCTCGTTGATCAAACTGGCTTGAATGTTTTCATGCCGGATGTCATGCAGCGACACTATAATTATTAAGACTACAAGGAAAACAGAAGGGTTAAGGGAATCTTGTGATTTAGAGTATGGGTTCACATTAACATAAATTCTCATGACCTAACAGTATGAGGTGAGACTCTTTAATATTTTAGAAACTTTTTCAGATGTATCAAATATCATGTTATATTTCTAACATTTAATATCAACATTCGCAAAATGTAAATGAATACCTAAGACTTGATCACGAATATTATATCTTTGGATATCCATATGGCACTAACATTCTTCTTCAATCACCTTTAAAATTCAATTTAATGCCAAAATACTAACAAGAAAAATGACATGAAAATCAATTAATTTTCATATTTTACACATCTTTGATCTCTGAAGGGAAAGTTGTGTTATTTCATCAATCTTTCACAATTGTTAAAGTCTTCTTCAGTGTCAGGGGACTCTTTCTTGAGTTTGTTGAGTCTTAAGTATTAGGAATTTTTCTTAAGTATCAAGAAATTTTTATGATTGTTGAAACTTTTGTGTCTTCATTCCGAATTTAGTTGCTTTAATTTTATAAAAGAATTATGGAATGATGAAGAAGTAAATGTTTTATTGTGTATATCATCCTAAGCAAAGCAAAAGGAGAAACTTTAGGTGATATGAAGTTATGCTTAAGCTTAAGCATTCAAAAAAAAAGACTCAAAACCACTGAGCATAGGATGAGTTTGAAATTAGAGTTTGGCATACATTGCTAAAAAACTCAAATTCAAATTGTTTTGCCATCAATTTTTTAAAAAAATTCTAAAAGAAAAAGGAATGGAGTTTGTTTGATGTGGAAAACACAATTAACTATTCTAGAATTCTTTCCTTTTGAGAAAATTCTCACTTAGATTTTTAAAAGACACATTGTTTAACAGTATGTCACAATTTTTCTAGGCATACATAAGCAGGAAAATTAAGCACTTGTAACTCTTGTCTTTGACTCCAGATTAAAGAGAGCTAAATTCAATATTAAATTAGAGAATTATTTACCTAAATCTTATGAAGCTTTGATAGAGGCAAAATCACAATTAAAACATTGTGATGTTTCAAGACTTTGATCTAAGTTCTTTTAGCTTAGATTACTACTCAGACATAGTTTAAGAGTAGATTTATCCTGAGTTTAAGTCTCTTATGCATATTGTAAGAGCCTATGAGACTCGAACAAGATTCATAAGTCAAAAATTCAGAAATAGTTATTACAAACTACTCTAACCATTTGAATCGCTTTATATATAGTACACCTAAGTGAATTAATTAAAACTCAAAAATTTGTCATACAAGTTTGAGTAAAGTCTTCCACAAATTAACTATCACATATTTAAAAAGCTATCTAATGTTATTCCACAAGTAAATTGATCTAGAATAGGCTATCATATGTTAGACAATTTGACCCTTCTATTGATTCTATAAGGCAATTTCACAAATTGGTCTCCATGCCCCATTCAAAGTAGTCCTTAGTATTAATCCAGTTTATCTAAAATTTGCCAAGAGCAATAAGCTATTTTTTCTAATTTTACAGTTGTAAGGGAAAGGTTAGTTATAAGCCAGAGGGTAAGACCTATTGTGAAGTAGATAAGTTACTCTAGAATTGATTATCAGGTGTCAGAGACTTTGCATTGAATTAATCTTAATTACACTAGACACGGCCAAAAAAGGACAGTCTTTCTGTGCACCTAGGTGGAGAGATTGAGAATTAATGACCCTTCACTATCTTGATAGAAGTTAAATGGGGGAATTGATGTAGACAAAATAAGAATATTTACTAACGATCCACCACACATATCAAAAGATATATTTTGCTTATAGATCTAGATAAAAGTTGGTTGATCCCCACTCTATATGACTAGACAAAAGTATAAAAAAGAAAAAACTAAATTATCTTATATATCTAACTAGGCTAATGAATGATAGATTTAACAAAATATTTAAACAGTTTGATGAATTATCAAATGAAACACTTGACAATATTCTGCTCAAGGTATATAGAAGTCTAACCTTTGGTACCTTTACTATTGTTAAAAAAGGTGTGATAATACAAATAAATTACTTTGTAAGTACATAGAATAAGCAATACTTATATCTGTAGAGTTACTTATACAAAAAGAAAATAGTACTAGGATTCTTTCTAGATAGAGAGATAATCTGCTTATCCGAGCTAGATACAAATTCTAAGTATTATAACATACAAAGGATTTATCAAATTTTGCTTACTATACAATTGCTAAAATTCTATGCAATCTCAGGCAAAAAAGCTATTATGGGAACTTTAATGGTTCACAATAAAGTTTGGATACCCATATGTAAAAATACACTTGCTGATAATTGAGCTAATAGACATTGAATCAATTCTAAATACGGATTGATAGGTAACAAAATTTTATAAAGTAAAAATCTCTTAAGGTGGACCACATTTGAGCAAGACAAATATATTGTGAAAGATAACATTTGTTACTCAAGAAATTTTAGGGACTTTTATATAAGAAATGTTTTATACATTTGGCCTTTAAAGGAAAAACCATCTCCATTTCAAAATTAATTAGGAAGTTAGATTTTTGCTTCTAAAAGTGACTAATAAATCAATTTACAAAAGGAATACATTACATACCAAAACATTATACCATTCACTCCATAAATGAAGCATAATAACTAAGCTTGCCATAGTAGCAATGCCAACAGACCTTGAAATATATAGGCATAAATCAATAATTGATCTTACCTATAAAGTTTTAGAGGGTATAGTCCTTATGCATAAAATTATCATTATTTATACAAAGCTAAATAAAAGTTTGAAAGAAAGTAAACTGAAAACATATTAGGTACACCTCAACAAAGAGGAGACCAAAAATCTCAATATGACTTTGACGGTCATCTAGAATATGTGAATCCATATGCTACTCCTTTTTGGCAGTATCGGCATATAGAAAGTACCTCTACTTTAGCTAAGAGTAGTGGAATACAAAATAATTGGAATGATTTCTCACAAAAAGAAGAAGAGCTAAATTTATAATTTTACCTTTTGATAGTGATTTAGGTTCCCTTACAAACCAAATACCTATTTTGCTTATACTAGTTGCAAAATGAAGTATTTTTTATCAAATTGTATTGAGCACTATAGTAATTATAGGAACGGTAATATGCATTGTTATTACATATCCATCTTTTTCTAGAATCAAAGGAGAGGACCCACAATTATATATTGAACAATATATAAAAGTAATCAAGCTTAATCAAGTAGATGGGTAGGAAAAGAATATTTTTCCTTTTATGTTAAAAAACAAAGCTAAAGATTGCTATTATGACAATGATGTCAAAAAGTTTAGCACATTTGATGAGTAGGCAAAATTTTTCCTTAAAGCTTTCTTCGTAGAAATAAACCCAAAAAAAAATTATGATGAGTTGCAAAAACTTCATTAAGGAAAATTTGAGATAATCGAGGAATATACAATTTGATTCAACAAGTGTTATAAACATTGTAAAGACTTAGTGTTAGACAAAATGCAGTCTATACATATAAAGCCTTAAGATAATTTATCATAAACATGAGATAAAAAGAACTAATACAAATTTCGATTACTTGAAAAAAGCTATGATTGCTTACCAAGATCTCATAAAACATGACATGGTAGATATAGTTAAGTCAAATAAAAAGATGACTCTTATAAACAAGGAAATTAGTCATTTAAAGAGCTTTAAATTGCAATCCAGTGTACCAAATACAAAAATGAAGGCCATAGCAAGGAAAAATGCAAACTTTAATTGATTAAGTGCCAATTTTGTAAAAACGAGGGGCATTCAGGTAAGGAATGTAGAACCTTGTTTAAACAACTAAGAGGCTAACATGCAACCCGAGTTGATAAAACAATATATAGGAAATATATCCACTTGACGATAGAAGTTATTGTAGGAAAAATGATTACAATGATAATTGAAGTGCTAAACATAAATACCCACATGCTAAAAGGCAAGATAACTATTGAAATTATCTACCTATGGATAATTTTTGAGATTATCCACTTAACTATGAGGAAAATAGGCCTAAAGACTATAATTGTCCTAGAAAATATGATCAACTAAAAAGTTATAATAAGCCTAAGAGAATATAAAAGGCTAAAAAAGTATGATCAAGTTAAAACTTCTACTTGCTATTCTAGGTTATATAATCATATTGAATCATCAAACAAAAATTATAAACCTAAGGATACACAACCTATAATTAGGCACGTTGAGATAAAATAGTCAAATACAAAAGAGCTATTTAATGTTTATGTCATACCCAAAACCTAACAAAGAAGAGTTAAATATGAAAGCCAAAATAAAGGGAGTGATGATGAAGTAAAAATCATCCCTAACTCTTAATGGTGCCAAAAGAAAAAAATTAACGCAAAAATCACTTAACAACTCTAAAATTGATTTAAAGAATAGTTATTTTCTCATACTTTTACTGGTTAACATGAATTTACCACTAGTGTAGAAAGAAAACCTTCAGAAACTCTGTGCGTATCCTTCTATTGTGTAAACTAGTTATTCTATGTGAGGCAATTAGTCATTCACCCGTACCATAGTCTCTTAAAAGGAGGGACATACGCATGGAACGATTTAAATTTAGGGGAAAAAAAGTTAAAATAATAAAATAAAAATAAAATATTTTTTTTAAGTAGCCACTAATCAATGGGAATCAAACCCATATCATTTACTTTGATACCACATGTAATGCATCTCTTCTTAACCCAATTGGAAAAAAGGCAATTACTTAATAAAATAACCTTTAATAGCTATTTTATCTTTATTTATCCCTTAAAGTTTCACAGATCCACAATATCCAAATCTCATCCCATAGTCACATACACTACACATTACCTTCTAAGCTAACTTGATCAATCTGTTGGTTTTCCACCCAAACAAAACCATCTATTTCCAGTTTAAAAGAAAACAAAAAATCAACTAAGTGCTCTTAAGTGACTGACTAGCGATCATCTTACCATAATGGTCACTGCCAGTCTGTAGCTCTTTAGACATGCTGCCCACCATTTCCTGTATGGTATACATAGATGGCTCATAGAGATTTTTTACGCTTGCATGGCCTTTCCAGTCCATTGTCACCATCCACGAAGCGTGTAGCAATTAGAGTACACATACAGCTTACAGTGGCTTGGAGAAGAATTGCACACAGTCTGAAGGTCTTCTATCGATGAGTCTGAGTTGGGAAGAAGGTTTTCCATGTCAGCCTGGGTGGTCGACTGGGTCCTAAAGTCTTCATTGTCAGCCTCACACATGATCATAAAGTCCTCTTTTTTGTGAGATGGCAATGCCAGGTCTGGTGCTTGGCTGTAAGCCGGCTCTTGTTCATGGGATCTTGTAAACTGGCCAAGGTTTCGTAGCATCCTGTCCAGTATCGGTGTGAATTGCATCTCTCCATCTTGGAATGCAGTTGAGTAGGCCACATCGTTCATTGCAATGAAGCGTTTCGCCTGACATCTCCACAGCAGCAAACCTTAAGAGACGAAGCAAGGGTTTGTCAAAAACCTCACCGGTCATACGAGGGCATCTGATGCATGATCTCTGTACGTAATCCACCAGTTTTTACTGGGGGTTGACAAGGCCTACATGAAGACTTCACCGGTTGGCCACTTCTTCATTAGGTGAGAACTAGCGCTTTGGTATTGACAAACTTGCAGGTTGGTGCAAGGGTAGTGCCCAAAAGAAGTTATACGATGGCTCAAAACTCTATAGCCGGTCGTCAAGTGAACGCAAGCGAGATATCTTAGGTGCTCGAGATGAGCTCCCGAGCAATAAAATTTACATCCAGTTAATATGAGATCTTGAAAGTCAAAGAGTCGGAACTTCCATTGACTACCATTGACTTTGAATGCCTGGATAGCACATCAGCAAAGGATGATCTTATTGTCTCTTTAAACACAACGCAGTTGGACCTATACTAGCCTGGTGGGGTGTGTGTGTCTATTCCTCCACTTCGGCGACAATCTCCTTGATGAGCTCGGTCTTGTAGTCCTCAAAACTTCCCGGGTAGCGCCTCACGCTGCCGTCCTCCACCACCCAGATCTCGCTCTTCTCCTCCTCCTCGCACACCCTGGAGATGAGCCGAGAGTCATGGCTGACGAGCACCACGCCGCCCGTGAACTCGTCCAAGGCATCCGCCAGCGCGTCGATGCTCTGCATGTCCAGGTGATTCGTCGGCTCGTCCAGCAGTAGAATGTGAGGCCGGGACATCGAGATGGACGTGAAAACCACCCGAGCCTTCTGTCCCCCCGAGAGCTTGACGATTGGAGTGAGATGGTTGCTGCTTGGGAGCCCGAACTTGCCCAGCTTGGCACGCACTGCCTCCTGTTTGCTCGGCCCTTCCTGCTCGGGATGAAGCCTCAGCAGGTACTGGACGGGCGTCTCGTCCATGGTGAGAAGATCCACAAAGTGCTGCGAGTACCTCCCTATTCTCAGCTTCTGGCTCCGCCTCGCCTCGCCCTGTGTCGGCTTCAAATCGCCGGCGAGAAGGTTGAGCAGCGTCGACTTGCCAGCGCCATTCGGTCCCACGATCGCCACCCTGGTTCCCATGTCTATCCCCACGTCCACTTCCTTGAGGCTGAAGTCGTCTCTGTTCGGGTAGCTGAACTGGACGTCGATGAGCTGCATGAGCGGCGGTGTGAGCTCCGTTGGCTCCGGGAAATGGAACTCTACGGTGTAGTCTCTCCACTTGCGCGGCTTCTCGACCACGGCATCGTCCTCCGCTGCTGCCCCGGCCTTCGTTTTACCTCGCGATTTGGCCTCTTTGGCTGCGGCGAACTTGGCTCGGTCCTTCACCTTGTCCATCGCTGCCCTGTTTCCACTGCGCTTGGCTGCTTTCTCCTGCTTCTCAAACGTCTCGAACTTCTTGTTGTTTGCCGTCCTCTTCTGCTCGTACGCCTGCTCGAACGCTTCGAAATTGCCCCTGTAGACGTGGAGCTGCTCGTCATGGAGGTGAATGATATCGGTACAGACGGAGTTGAGAAAGTCTCGGTCGTGAGAAACGACCACCAGCGTCTTCTTCCACCGCATCAGGTACTCTTCTAGCCAGAGCACAGCCCGCAGGTCCAAATGATTCGTAGGCTCGTCCAAAAGAAGCAGCGTCGGCTGGACGAAAAGAGCTCTCGCGAGAGAGATTCGCATTCTCCACCCACCACTGAAAGACTTCGTCGATCGGACTTGCATGTCCTTGTTAAAACCCAGCCCGGCTAGAATTTTCGAGGCGCGAGACTCGGCAGCATCTGATCCAAGACCACGTAGCTTCTCATACACAGTTGTCAGCTGCTCTTGGTTGTTGTCTCCTCCTTCGTCTTCCTCATTGTCATCCTCGAGGGAGAGCTTCTCTAAGCGCTCGGCCTCTTGCCTGAGCTTGACAAGCTCCTGGTCGGCAGCCACCACCGCCTGTATCGCAGGGGTCTCGTCTCCAACAATCTCCTGTTCCACCAGCAATATGTCGATGTTCTTCGGGACTGGAATTTGCCTCCACGCCAGGAGCTTCAAGAGCGTCGACTTTCCCTTGCCGTTTGGACCAACAAGGCCGTATCTCTTGCCGTGCGAGATCTTCACCGACGCATTCTTTAGCAGCTCCTTGCCTCGGGCAGAGACGGAGAAGTTGTCGATCGAGATATCCTTCACGTTGGCATCGGCAGCTTCTTCTCCTTCCAAGACAGCCGTCTTGGTCCCAATCACCACCGAGAACGCGTTCTGGTCGTCCTTGAGAGCTTCTTGCTTGGCAGCCATCGCGGCCATGGCCAAGAGCTGCTCCTTCTTGTCCCGCTTCTTCTGATCCTTGTCCGTGACGGAGAGATTGAGAGCCCGCGCGTGCCTTGGACCGGCATCCTTTTTCACCTCGTCGCCGCTATCGACCTCGTCTTCCTCGTCGTCCGACGGCGGCAAGTCGATCCCAGCTGTGTACGAGCTCGTCGGAGGAGCTGCGGCCTTGGGCTTGCTCTTGCTCGCGGAATTCTTCTCGGAATTCTTCTCGGATTTCTTCTCAATGCTGGCGAGCAGTAGATCGGCAGCAGAGGGACCAGTACCTGATCTCGCAGCGTCCTTGGATTTCGATGCCGGTGCCTTGGTCTTGCCCGCTGCCGCCTCGCCCTTCCTCACCATCGCGTCCCCAAAACCCTAACCCTAGGGTTCTCTTTTGCTTGGAACCTGACCTAAGAAAAAGTACCAAGGGGTAAAGGAAATGATTAGAGTATTGGAGATCCAACCAACGTTACGTTACGTACTTACCTGACCGATACTCTGTCCCAATTCGTACGGGGTTGCGCATGCGTTGGTAGCAGTCAGGCTTGATGTGGATCGATCGATAGAAATGGAGTGTTTGATCGAGCGATAGCCTCCCCATTTCCAGTCTAGAGATAGAGCGATCGATCGATCCATGGGAGTGAGACGGTGTAGTAGGATCTTTTCCCAATTCTTGTGGAGTGGATTATCGGGGAGCGATCCAGCGCCGGCGAGGAAGAAGAACAAGGAGAAATTGAGGAGCAAGAGCGAGGAGGAAGGAGCGATCGCGACGAGGAAGAGGAAGCTCGTGATCAAGAGATGGTGTCGGCGATCACAGCACGCGATGATCAAGAGCTGCCAAGAGGAAATATTTCGAGAAGAAAGATCGATCCAAGGAGGACAGCGAGCTCCGGCCAACTCGGAGGAGGACGAGGATCGTGAAGAGCTTCTTGGCAGGAGAAATCGATGCAGCCTACATTCCTCTCAATACTCGTCGTCGCCGTCCTCCTCATCGACCTTCCGCTGCTTCGAATCGTCGGATCGATCGCCAGCATCGTCATCGTGGAGCAAGAATCTCAACATCTTGGAAGCGTCGATCAAGCCCTGGGACTGCGATGTTGCGAGAAGAAGAAGAAGATCGAGGTCACGGAGAAGAAGAGGAAGAGGAGATTATGTCCAATGCTCCGTGATTCCTGTGTTGTCAAGCAATCCCTACCGGGATTTCAAGGAATCCGTGTCCCAGATGATCACCGGGCAGCGGCAAATCGACCTGGTAGAGCTACTGGAATGCTATCTGGCGCTCAACTCTCCCGGATCCCATCGCGCAATCTTCCAAGCTTTCTCGGAGACTTTTCTCTCCGGATGGAACTAAAGAAAGAGGAGAAATGCCGCCTTTGTTAGGGTTCTTGGAGAAGTTTAGGGCTTTAGCGCAGGAGAGAAGGCGCGCGCCAGTCTCTGCCTCCGCATTGCGATTGCGCAAATCTATGGAGGAGCTCGACAAGGATTCGCCTCTGGCGTGCTTGCGATGCAGCAAGCCCGCGCACTTCCGGTTATTATCGCTGCGATTTCTTCGTGAATGAATGAAATGAATGGTGTTCTTCGTCACAACAGGTGTCCCAAATGCTTAGACCTCAAGCTTCCTTGGGCCAGTGCCTCGTTCTGGTATGGAATTCCTCCTCCATCTCCCTTGCTAACAAATGCTCCCAGCTCGCAGGATTGCTTTAGAGCTGCGTGGAGCACACACAAGGCGATTCACGCAGGCGTGCTGCCTGAGAAATCTGGGAGCGATCAACAAGTAGTGGAAGCTATGAAGCAAGGATGGCAATACTGCCTACGTAAAGGATCAGCGCGTGCTTCCGAGATTCCTTTCTTCGATTGGACTGGGTAAGCTATAGGTCGAAAGCCGTCTCTCCAACTTACAAGTTCTTCTGGCTTCCAGAGCTTTGAGACCATATCCTATTTCTCCAAGGCGTCTTGTACCAAACCATATTCGTCGACCCGATTGGTCACTTGATGTAAGTGCTGCTGTGTTCTTTCGTTTTCTAACAATTGTCTTTCTCTAGGGGGTTCCAAAAGAGGAACCGGCGAGCAAATGGCAAAATAGTGTGGAGGTAAGGCTTTTTTTTTTTCCCTCTGCAAGCTGGTGATTTTGCGCTTCCACAGATAAAATCTCAAGAACAAATCCAGAGAATGCGAGAGACTTGCAAGGTGCAGTTTTGTTTTTGTGTTTCTACTCGAAAAACAAAACCGTTTTGACTTCTCACTGCAGGTCGCCAGAGAAGTGCTAGACGCTGCTGCAAGAGCAATCAAGCCCGGTGTTACGACCGATGACATCGACAGAGTTGTCCATGACGCGACTATAGCAGCTGGTATGTCAATGTGTTTCACGGCTGAAGAACATTCAATCTTTTTCCCCCGTTTTTGGTTGCTTTTCTATGTAGGCGGATATCCATCTCCTTTGAATTATCACTTCTTTCCAAAGTCTTGCTGCACGTCAGTATATGTTTCATCTGTTCGGTAGATCACAGCTGACAATTTGTTTGTTTCTTTTGTTATGCAGATCAGTGAATGAAGTTATCTGCCATGGAATTCCAGACGCAAGGTAGCTAACTACACCGCGAGATCTTGCCTGTGTGCTGATGCTTTTATCATCGCAGGCGCTTGGAAGAGGGCGACATCGTTAATGTCGATGTCAGCGTTTACTTGAACGGCTGCCACGGTGAGGACTATTCGCTCCTTCGATCGGTTTAAGCTTATTCTCGTCTTGGTTTGCTGTAGGTGATCTTAACGAGACATTTTTCGTTGGACAAGTCGATGAAGCATCGGTCCATCTGGTCAAAAGCACTTACGAGTGTCTTGAGAAGGCCATTGCCATAGGTGATCAAAACTAATCATTCTCTATTTGAGCTAAACTCGTATTCTTCAGTAAAACCTGGAGTGAGGTACCGCGAGGTGGGAGACGTGATCAGCCGCCACGCTGCAATGACAGGCCTGTCGGTGGTGGGGTATTTTTATATGCTTCGCGTTAAACGCTTCTCGAGAGAGACTAATATGCCAACCACAGGTAAAATCTTATTGTGGACACGGCATAGGCGAGCTCTTCCACTGCGCACCCAACATACCGCACTACGGACGTATCCTTGAGAGTCCCTCGTGAATTCTTTAAAAAAAACTTTCCTTCTCATCCGTCTAGAGCAGACAACAAGGCAGTCGGGACGATGAAAGCGGGTCAGATATTTACAATTGAGCCGATGATCAACAGAGGTACGTAAGTTCGCTTACTCTCAGCTTAGGACCTTAGGTGATCGCAGAAGAAAACAAAAGAGAAAATAAAACTCTGGTGCCACTGCTATGCTGCTGCTAAAACTCCGCTGCTCGCAGGGATTTGGCGTGATAGAATGTGGCCTGATGGCTGGACTGCTGCAACAGCTGACGGCAAACGCAGCGCGCAATTCGAGCACACACTGCTGGTGAGTGTGAGCTTAAAGTTTAATCTTTTTCTTCCTCGACTTCTTCCAGCTAGAACAGTGTTCTAACGTGTGTGGAGCTCTTTTCTTTTCTTTGTTCTTTGTTTTCGCTTGCCTTGTGCCTATAAGGTAACGGAGAATGGTGTGGAGGTGTTAACAGCGCGTCTGCCAAGCTCGCCTAGTGTGTTCCCATGGCTGCTGGGCGGGGGCGGCGGCTCCACACAATAAGACGTAACTTCTATATAGGAGAAGGGGCTCGCTCACTGCTTGACTGGTGCGATTTGTCCCCACGTGGACGGCGGCGACGCGGCCCGCGTGTCGGGATATTCTCTCCCCCTGCCGGCGAATATGCCGCTTAACCAAACCCGGGTGGGTTAAGCTGTGATTTAAGTTATAGTAGGGCGGCCCTTTTATGTTGTCGTCTCCCATCTTGCGGTTTCTTCACAGTGCGTGCCGCTTGCGATCATCCTCATTTTTGTTCTTCCTTCTTCCTCTCCTCCATAGTTAGGGGCGCTTGGATCTAGGTCGGAGATCCAATTCCAGGCGCCGCCGATCCATTCATCCATTCATCGCTCGCTCGCTCGCTTGCTCGCCCCCAATCGATTGATCGGTGGGCGGCATTTTGGGGGTGAATGCCCCGGTAGGGCTTGGCAATGGCGCCCAGGAAGGGTGTGGCGGGGGCGGCGGCGGGGAAGCAGCAAGATCAAGGGGCGCATTTCCGTGGCGTGAGGAAGCGGCCATGGGGCCGGTACGCGGCGGAGATCAGAGATCCATGGAAGAAGGTGAGGGTATGGTTGGGGACGTTCGATACTGCGGAGGAGGCGGCGCGGGCCTACGACAATGCGGCCCGGGCATTGCGAGGCACAAAGGCCAAGACCAATTTCTCGACCATGTCGCCATCGCTCTACCCTGGCGGCGCTGGTGGCGGTGGCGGCGGCGGTGGCGGTGCTGGCATGGGCGGCGGCGATGATCGCCAGAGTACCAGCCACAGCAGCACGGTGGAATCTTACAACACGCCCACGCCAGTCGTCAGGAAGAACAAGGCGGCGGCAGTGGCGGCGGCGGCGGCGGCGGCGGTGGACACCATGACAATGACGATTAACAACACGAGCAATTGCTACACGAGTAGCTGCGGGAATCATCGGGCAGGGATGGTGGAGAATGGCGATTTCACCAAGAACGTCATCGCCAGCACCGTCAAGAACAGCAACAAGAGGGTGAGGAGGGTGCTGGATTGGATGCCCGTCACCGCCACCACCGCCGCCGCCGCCCCGCCGCTAGGCCCCCAGCACAGCGATTGCGATTCTTCTTCGTCGGTGGTGGACGAGGCTGATACGAGCTCTTCTCCACGCCAGGATCAGCAGCTCCACCACCACCAATCTCTCTCGCTTTCCTCGTCCCGAGCTCACGGTACGCTCTTTCCTCCTCTCCTCCTCTTAGATCTCAATCTTCCTCCGCCTCCAGAGGCGGTGCTGGAGTGACTGATCTGGATTGATTGAGAGATTTGAGAGAAAAGAGAGAGAGATAGCTCCTATTTGTTTGTACATTCTTTGTTCCTTTTTTTTTTCTTGCTGGGCAACCGCCATAGATCTTCCAGCCAGCCAGCCACACACTCAAAGATTTCAAAGCCACAGCCGCAATTTGTTTATACAAAGAAGAAGAGGAGGAGAAAATCACAAATCCATCACCACAGCACCACAAGAACACCATGAGAAAAAGTTTCTTCCAAGAACCAAGAGACTATTTACTAACTAGGAGGTAGAGGCATTTAGAGAGGAAGAGAGGGAGAGAGCTATTCCTTTCTCTTTCTCAACTCGAGAGGAGAAAGAAACGAAAGAAGAGAATTTCTAGCTTTTTGTTGTTGTATTACTTCCGCCATTTAATTGTTATAGCGATAAGTATTTAGCAATGCTTGTTCTTGAGAAGATTCCACGTCCATGGAGCTCTTTCCTGCGAATATGCTCGATCGACCATGTGGTATTTCCAAGATTTTTGCGAGAGCGCGGCAATCCGGCCAGGAATCTCTTCACCTGGATTTCCATGCTGCGGGCATTTGCCGGATTGATCCCACACGAGGCATCGCGATGCCGATCCCAGGGAATGCTTGTTTGATGCGACGCTGGGCGGGAGATCCAGGGAGTCCGTGCAGATTGGAGGTCTTTCCGCGAGGATTTCGTCTTCCAGTGCGGTACCGCGGTGCTAGGGTTCTGCTCGATCGATGCCGGAGAGGATATTTGCTTCTCAAGAACCCTAGAAGGGTTTTGGGACCAGATGTCTCCCGAGCAAGGGTAAGGTGATCGAGCGAGCGATCCATCGGTGGTGATGTTTGTGTTCTAGGAGCTACGCTGGATTGGATGCGCCAGTGAAAACTGCTGTGGACAAGTTCCAGCTTCTTCCAGCGTTTCACAAGGTATGTATGACCTCTCTTTTAATCATGATTTTTTTTTTCTCTTTTGCTCGCGCTCGTAGGTCCGGGGTCTTGTGAAGCAGCACCTCGATTCATACAATTACTTTGTGAATTGCGAGATCAAGAAGATCATCCATGCCAAAGGAAACGAGAAGATCACTAGCGATGTCGATCCCAACTTTTACATCAAGTATGCTTGCGACACCTTCTTTCAATACTTCACGAACATCCTCTTCAGGTTTTTGGACATTTTCGTTGGAACACCATCGATCGAGCAAGACTACATTCGGCAGGATATTACCCCGCAGCAGTGCCGCTTGCGAGATATGACGTATGGTTTTTTCTTTTCTTCTTCGTTTTCTCCATGCTGCCTTGAAATGCCTTTCTTTTTGTTCTGAGAGCTTACAGTGCTTCCGTTCTATAATCAGGTATTCTGCCCCTATCAGTGTTGATATCGAGTACACAAGGGGCAAGGATATCATAACTCGCAAGGGAAAGGATGGCCAGGTGTGCAATTGTCTTTTTACTTTTTTCATTCCTTCTATTTTTTTGGAGAGCTTACAAAGCTGAAACTGCAGGGAGCACAAGTAATTGGACGCATGCCAGTGATGCTAAGGAGCTCTCGTTGCATTCTTACTGGAAAATCTGATGCTGAACTTGCGAAGCTTGGTAGAGCTTTTGGCTTTTCTTTGGTGCTGAATTCCATTTGATTTTTGTTCCCAGGAGAATGCCCGCTCGATCCCGGTGGCTATTTTGTTGTGAAAGGAACAGAGAAGGTATGACCAACTCTTGTTTTCAGTTGACACATCTCTTGACGGGCAGGTGATTTTGATTCAAGAACAACTTTCCAAGAACAGGATCATCATTGACTCTGATAGCACTGGGAGGTGTGTTGAACGACGCCTTTGTTAAGATGACTCACGTTCATCTTGCAGCGTTACAGCCTGTCACTAGCAGTACACATGAGAGGAAAAGTAAGACGAATATCATCATAAAGCATGAAAAAATCTATGTAAAGCTAAACGTGTTCAGCGACGACGTAAGTGAGTATGTTACCGGGGAAATATCACTACTGATGCAATTTGCAGGTTCCCATAGTTGTAGTCATGAAAGCTATGGGAATGGAGAGTGACCAAGAGATTATACAGATGGTCGGGACGGATCCAAAGTTCGCTGGGATACTTGCTCCTTCCATGCAGGTCAATTCAATTTTTACTTTCTGAAAACTTGTCTACAATCGTTCCGTCGCAGGAATGTGCTTCGTTGGGTGTATACACAACTCATCAAGCTCTTGAGTACCTTGGAACAAAGGTCTGACTTGTAATTATGCACGCATGTGATTAACTTGTGGAAAACTTTTCCAGGTCAGGGTAAATAGGCAATGGGGCAGCAAGCAAACTAAGTCTAAGGTATGTCCATTTGAAACGCAGTCCAGCTGAAAAACTTATGTTCCAGGTTGATGAAGCCCGTGATATCTTGTTAAACGTTTTTCTGGCCCATGTAGCTGTAAGTCCTTGTTGATCTCAGTTGGCCACGCGCTTACAATCTCGTCCTTGTTTAGGTTCATAAATACGATTTCCGGCCAAAGTGCATCTATGTGGCACTGATGCTCAGGCGGATGCTAGAAGCGATTCTTGATAAAGAGTGTGTAGACGACAGGGTAAGTACATTGTGTCAAGACTTTGTACAGCTAACATGATTCAAACCAGGACTATGTTGGAAACAAGCGACTGGAACTCGCTGGCCAGCTTCTTGCTTTGCTGTTTGAGGTTCGTGTTTCTTTCCCTTACATTTGCAAAAGATTATATTCTTTTTCCAGGATCTCTTCAAAAGGTCTTGTAGTGAGCTGAAGAGCAATGTGGATCGCACACTATCCAAAATGAACCGTGCCTCTCAATACGACGTTTCGAAGGTGCGTTTTTGGTACAGTTTGCACTAGAGATTAATAAGGTTTTTTGATGCAGTCATTGAAACCAGACATGCTTACAAGCGGACTGGAAAATGCAATCTCTAGTGGGAATTGGACAGTAAAGCGATTCAGGATGGACAAGAAAGGTGTCACGCAGGTTGATCGATCTCTTCCTGTTTTTGTTTTTGTTTTACTTTGGATGACATGTAAATCAATGCAGGTAGTGTCAAGGCTCTCATATATAGCTGCTCTAGGCCATATGACGAGAGTGGCGTCTCAGTTTGAGAAGTCGAGAAAAGTCAGCGGTCCTAGATCTTTGCAGCCGAGCCAGGTTTTGCCAACTCAAGTCGACCACACATTATGTTCTAAATTTGCGTTTTTCAGTGGGGTATGTTATGTCCTTGTGACACTCCTGAAGGTGAAGGTTGCGGTCTCACAAAAAACTTGGCACTAATGACACATATCACGACTGATGATGAGGAAGCGCCTCTGATTGACCTGGTAAGGAAACACAAATTTTTTGTATTTTTTAAGTTTATGTCATTCTTATGATTAGTGCACCAATTTGGGAGTGGAGGATATCAACCTCTTGTCCGGAGAAGAGTTTCACTCTAAAAACGCGTTTCTTGTAATGTTCAACGGTACGATTCTCGGTATTCATCGCCGCCCGCAGGTATGTTCCGTCTCAGTTACTTTTTTCTTACGTTATTCTTGCATGCAGCAATTTGCGACGTTGATGAGGAAGCTTCGACGGGCAGGAAAGATTGGAGAATTTGTCAGCATTTTCGTTAATGAAAAGCAGGTACCCGTTTCTTGTATATTGTTTGCTGGCTAACTTAGCTTCGGCCAGCGCTGCATTTATATTGCTTCAGACGGTGGACGAGTCTGCAGGCCTGTGGTGATCGCAGACCATGGTGTATCAAGAATCAAGGAGCATCACATGAAGGAGTTAAAGGTACCTCTTTTGTGTTTGAAATTTACGATCCCTCTCTTTTTATATTTTCAGGATGGCTTTCGTACATTCGATGATTTCTTAAGAGAAGGACTCGTTGAGTATCTGGACGTCAACGAAGAAAACAATGCTCTGGTTGCCAATGCATGCTTCTCTATGGTGTCTCTAATTAGTATTGTTGGCAGATAGCACTTTATGAAAAAGAAGCAGACTCTACGACCACTCATATAGAGATCGAGCCTTTTACAATTCTTGGCGTTTGTGCTGGGCTGATCCCTTATCCCCATCACAATCAATCACCACGTAATACTTACCAGGTAGGTGCCCCTAGTGCTACAGTTTTACTACGCTAATGCTGATCTTGATCTAGTGTGCTATGGGAAAACAAGCGATGGGTAATATAGCCTATAATCAGGTATGTTGTACTAGCTTGCGCTCGGATTAAATCTGACTTGCTACCTTTGCAGCTTCAAAGAATAGACACGCTACTCTACCTTTTGGTCTATCCGCAACGTCCACTTCTCACTACCAAATCAATTGAGCTGGTATTGTTAATCTGTCACCGTCTCACTCCTTAAATTGTTCTTATTCCAGGTTAACTATGACAAACTTGGTGCTGGTCAAAATGCAAGCGTCGCGGTTATGAGCTACAGTGGTTATGATATTGAAGATGCAATTGTCATGAACAAGGCCTCACTTGACAGAGGATTTGGGCGTTGCATCGTTTTAAAAAAGTAAGCAGCACGACTTGCTGCTTGATTGAACTTGATTTCTTGTTCAGGTTCAGTTGCCTGGTTAGAAAGTATGAAAACCGTACAATGGATCGGATTGTTGCTCCGCGACAGCATGGTCATGCGACGTCACAGGTAGATGCTCGTTTATCAGCTTCCAAATTACATCCATATATTCTACAGTTGCTTGATCAAGATGGTATTGCTTCTGTTGGGGAGAGAATTTACGATAAGGACATATTCGTGAACAAAGAGAGCCCGAAGGATGTGAAGACCACTTTTTTAAATCCTCTAGCTTTGCCTGACAGGTACACGGTATGTGTTAAACGAAACCACTCTGGACGTGGATGTTTTGTGCAGTGCCTATAGGCCTACTCCCCAGCGTTACAAAGGGCCTCTTGGTGAAAGTGCAATCGTCGACAAGGTTTTGCTGACTACAAACGAAAGTCAGCAGATGGTTATCAAGTGTCAAGTTCGACACACACGGCGGCCCGAGGTTTGTGGCTTTGCTTTACAGACTCAACTGATTTCGTTCTGGCATGTAGCTTGGAGACAAGTTTAGCAGCAGGCATGGGCAAAAAGGTGTATGTGGAACTATAGTAGAGCAACAGGACTTCCCGTTCACAGAGCGTGGTGTATGCCCGGACCTTATCATGAATCCTCACGGATTTCCAAGGTACTTGCGAAGATCTAGTTTCCAATGAGTGAAATTGCGTTGCAGTCGTATGACCGTGGGAAAGATGATTGAGTTGCTTGGAGGAAAAGCAGGCGTTCAAAGTGGAAAGTACCATTATGGTAGCGCTTTCGGTGAACCCAGTGGCCATGCTGATACTGTAGAAGCCATAAGGTAAACCTGGCTCCAACCTTCATGACCAGACGCTTATAATTATTTTGTCGTTTCTTTATCAGTGCCACCCTTGTCAAACATGGGTTCAGCTACTGTGGTAAAGACCTTATCTATTCAGGTAATCTTACGGTTGATTGCCTCTTTGTTATGACATACAATACGATTGCAGGTATCACTGGGTGTCCTTTGCAAGCATACATCTACATGGGTCCGATTTACTATCAAAAGCTAAAACACATGGTAAACAGACGTACCTTTTAACTAGTTGGTTTTCATCTTCTATGATCTCTGGCGGCAGGTTTTGGATAAAATGCACGCTCGCGCTCAAGGCCCTCGTGTAGTATTGACAAGGCAGCCTACTGAAGGAAGAAGCCGAGAGGGAGGTCTGAGACTGGGGGAAATGGAACGGGACTGCCTCGTCGCGTACGGCTCAAGCATGCTCATACTGGAGCGTTTGATGATTTCCAGCGACCAGTTTCAAGTGCAGGTTAGTGCATCTTGTTTGCTCCGTGTTCCCAACGCGTTTGAATGGCAGGTGTGCACAAACTGCGGTTTGCTGGGCTATTACAGCCACAAACTAAAAATGAACTTCTGCTCGTACTGTAAAAACGGAGAGAACATGGCCGCGATGAAGCTACCGTATGCATGCAAATTACTGTTCCAAGTAAGTCATCATTTTCCTTTGCGTCCCGATTCTTAGTGGTAGCATTGTTACAGGAGCTCCAGTCTATGAACATAGTTCCTCGTCTGCAACTGGCCGAAGCATGAAATAAAGCTCTTAAATGCTTATCAGGTTGCTTGTCTCTCGACGAATTGGAATGGATTATTCCACGTCGATTCGAGATTTTTGTGAGGCCGCGAGCTTGATCGGAAAAACTTGGATCAAGTTTAATACATCTCTGAATAGAACCGCTGATTTCTCGTTGGCAAAGGTAGCAAGGCAGCCATTTGTATGTCATTAAATAAATCCAACTTATAGATTGATATCGCTTGCAAGAGGCGTGCCAGTTTGTTACTTATCTTATTATCTTTAAGATATCCTTAAATAAATTCAGATATCAAAACTTTCTGTCAAGTTTTTGCTTATTTTGGAGATTGCTTTGACATGCTCCTATGCTTGTGCTAAGCAATACAGTCTTACTTCTCAAACCTGGTGTGCGGTCTGGCCGGGCAAAATTGCTGCAGATCAGTGGGAGTAGACTGTTTGTCAAGCACACCATCAGGAATTAAACTATATGATTAATATTTGTTATCTTAAAATAGAAAAGTTTGCATATAATTATTGAGATGCGTGGAACTCAATGCTAGGGATCATGGTTTGCTCAGACTGGCCTGCGTGACTTTTCTGACTCCAGAATGTGCTGTTAAAGACCATATCAGCTGGAATGCTACATTCATAGCAAATACAGATTTTCTTGAATTTTGAGCTAGCCTGACAATTTTACATTTTCCAAGCATGAAGATGGCAGGTGCATGGGACAACAGCATGAGGATTATGGGAGGATAGTGGGTATCATTGTAGACTGATAATTTCAACCGTTAGTAACAAAGAGTTTGAGGCTGGAGCAAAGTAGAAGTAAGCTGAACCACAACCCTTTGAAACTTGTATCTTATAGAGGACAGAGTTAAAAGAATCTCATTACAGATTGCAAAGACATGGACCCTCTCTTGATCCATGTCTTTAGTTATTAATGTTAATTATTAATCACTATTACTATTAATCAAGGAGAAAGGTGGTGCTATATTTAGGTACTTCCAATCTATAGTTTTTCTTCTTTTCTTTGACTAGTTAATAAAATTTTTATTATATTAATCTTGTTGCAAACATAGTGTTAGAAGAAGTATACTATCTGGGTATTTAGACCTCTTAAAAAATAAAGAGGAACTTTTATTATACAGCACTTTCTAATTAGATGATAAAAATACTATTATATAATAAAACATTTCAATTCTATTTTTAACAATGGGTGTTTGTTGCCCATAATCTTATACTTGGTGAAGTTGATGAATATAATACTAAATTACAATCATTTTGTAAACTAAGAAATGTTGGTGAAATACAATTAGGTTGTGATTTACAATAAATGTTTATTGACCATTCTACTATGTTTAATTCTGAATACAAAACAAGGTTACCATCATTTTGTAATCTTAAATAGCATTTTATAGCATTTTCTTTAATAGTTAAAGATTGCCAAAGTTTATATTGTCTTAAATATAAAATTAAGTTACAATTCAAATGTAGAAATAAAATGGTTTTAAAGTCTGGAGATGATAAATATTCATTAGAGAATAAAGTATGATGTGGTTTATATTTAGAACCACTGTATAAAGTACTTTGAAATATATCACAATCCATAATAGATTGTAATCTTTTAGTTTTATAATTAATTTCTTCAGTTTCATAAGAGCCATCTTCACTATAATAAATTTGATATTTTCTAACAGTTATTATTGCATAATTTGCAGCTTCGGTTAAAATTTGGAATCTATATTTATTAAACAACCTATGAAGTCCATCATACATAGAACGCCCTTTTATGATATTTGTATTTCCACTGGATGAACAACTTGGAGGTGTACCTCCAAACTGTGATATTTTAATGACTACTATTCCTATTGATAATGGTAATGTAGTAGTATGTGACCAAATTGCTGGATAATCACCTTCTCTATCAATATTTGAGATAATAGTGTCTATAGCATTGACAATTTTTTTCATATTACTGTGATTTATGGTTTTTTTAATTCCAAATTCAGGTAATGCATTTCCAGTTTGAAAACAAAATGCAAAGAAAATCAAAACTTTAATAAAACACATTTATTGATATGATGCAGCCACACTTTCCATATCCTTCCACCTTTATACCATTTTTTATTATGTCACTATTTGAAGTAAAAAATAGTGAAAAAAGTTTGAAAATTGTTGTTTTCTTTCATTAAAAAAAGTTTGAGTTCTTTTTTGCTTTTGTCAGGAACTTTTGCTCATTGGGACTGCCAACAACAAAACTTACGTTATTCTTTGTTCAACATGTAGTTTATTAGTTGCCAATGTGAATCCAATCTCATTATATTCTCTATTGTTAATCTTGGACGGATCACTACAAAATCCTTATGTGAAATAGCTTTTGGAAAAATAAAAGGAGACAGATTTTCCTTAGCTCTAGAAAATTATTGTTATGTTTGGAGCAATATAATTGTTTTTCTTTAAGGATGGAGTGTTTGATATTTCCCATCATTCTCCTTGCTTGTGCCAGCTCCTTGTGGTAGTCCAAGGTGCTATAACCGAAGAAAAGTCTGCTCTCTAACTTACTGATTGCATCCTAGAACTTGAAGCTATATTGTCATCGATTGATGTATTAGCCTTCGCAGGCGATTTTGTCTCGAGCTGCCAGATTGTTTTTAGGTCCCACCCTGTGACAAAATGGGAAGAAAGTTTGAGCATCCTCCCATCAGCTAATCGAAGAACTAAGTTGCTCATTGCACGCGGTAAGTATCATTACACAAGCTTAGAATATTTTGGTTATGCTTTTCAAGCCTTCCATCTCTATGGGAGCCGCATCTGGCCTCTCCAAAGTCATAGATATCATTTGACCACCTGTTAGCAAGAGTATGGCTCTTTGTTACAAAAAGCCAGTGAAAAAATCCCTAAGTATACTTATTAAAGTGTACATGCAAGTTGAAATACACCCTATTCGGTACATTGTTTTTAAACTTTGAGAAAATTTACCTCACTGTAGCCACTCAAACAGCCATTACACCTACCATGGATGCCATAGGTGCTTGCCAATTTTTTGCAGCTTCTAATCAAATTTATATTAACTTATTTGAAATCCATCATACCAAGTACGCCTTAAAATTTTAGTTGCATTTCCACTTAATATGACAACTAATAATGGTCGATCAATATTTAGATAATAGAATCTTCCGCATTTACATATATCCTTCTCTTGTTCTAAATTCTAAATACTATAAAAAAATTCATTTTCAGGGGCTAATTTTATAACTTATTTTAGTTGAAAAGTATTCTATCTTTGTGTTTGGTGTTTCCTATGAACTTTTCCAACAAATAAGTGTAACGCTAAAAGGGATATTCTCAGCGTCTATTACTGCCCCTTTGATTCGTACCTGGATGGCCTGGATTGTCGAGCTCCTGCACCTCTATCCCAATCTCGACCTCTGGAGGCTTCTCGTCGGGAATGCCGTGTTCATCGAGGTATGTAATCTTTGCTTTTGAATGGATTGATCAGGGATTATCTCATGGATCAAGATCGAAGGCCAAGAGGAGCTGCCAGTCGTAACTCCAGAGGTCCTGGAATTACTCGCCTCGGCTGACATGGATTGGTTCTCCATTCTAAGCAGCTTGACAGGGAATCCAAAGCTTTGGTACCGGGTGCTCGAGGTGGGCATCCTCGTCTTCTCCAGGACGTGCGTCTTTGCCCCGCGAAGAACATGGTTCATCGAGTACACTTACGTGATCGATCTCGACACGGGCAGCCTTGCCGTCAACAATGGCTATAATCTCACCAGCTTCAACATGTCAACTGCATCTCCATGGACGTCCCCTCCGAGTGGATCATCGTCGCGCATGGCTGCCACCCTCGAGTTCTCGCCAAGATGATGGAGCTTGCCAGTGGCCGCGACAAGACTGTGTGGGACATCGTCCTGGCCAACAAGTTTCCACACATCCGCACCGAAGCTTTGGAGCTCGTCCGCGATCTCTTGCGCTGGGAGCGGAAAGACGCAGTTATCCAACGAGACAAGAGAACTTGTTTGTTACCGCCTGGGATGCCATGGAATGGATGAACCTGTTCGAGATCTTCCGGTGTCTCCACACGTCAACTCTCCAGGAGCTGAGTTCAAGCCGCGCATTACCTCCTCTGGATCCAGAGCTCCAACTATAGAGGAAGTTGTGACAGAGCACAGAACTCTCGAGCTGAGCGGCAAGCTTGCCAGCCTTCGGGGCCTCCACGCTCTCGTCTTCTACGGCGGAGCTAACTGCGATTCAAAGAGCTGCTGCTTCTAGAGCCCGACATGGCCCCGTTTGTGGAACTCGCAAAGATGGTCCTGGTGCTGACCGACTGGGACAACGTTCTTGGCTTCGACCAGGAAACTCGAGAAGTTTGATGCGCAAGAGCTCGTGAGCATCTCCGCGCTGCCGCTGGATACCGCCCTCTCCCGTCGCTGGAACGTCGGCGACATTGCGAATGCAGCTCTTCCCTGGATTATGAGCAAGGATGGCAAGCACAGGGTCCTTCTCGCCATGGATCTGGACACTGGCAAGGGAGCCGCGCTCGTCGTCGCCATGGCTGTGGAGCACTTTTAGGAGCAGCGTCCACAGGTGGAGGTGATTAGCGTCGTCGTTTTTCACGTCATGGACATCCGAGTGAGGCGATCTGAATCTCCTGAGGATCAAGATGGCAGAAAGAAGATGCAGATCACGGTGACCTTCTCCACTGCGCTGCCGCTGGTTTCTCTTCGATTGCCATCTTTTTACGCTCATTGCCAAGGAGAGGAGGAGGCGAACCTCGCCAGGGATGGCTTCGATTGTCTAGTAAGCTACTTGAGGTGGGTTTTCTTCGCGTTTATATGATCGTTAATGTGATCGTCGTGACGGTATCACTCACAGCAGCAATGAGGAAGAGAACGTCCATGGGCCTTCCTGGACAACGACATCTTATATCGCAGCGCTCATGAGACGATCGAGTGGTTTGCGGTGGCTCTATGGCCTGGAACCAAGGTCCTGTCCGTCACATCGCCACAGCAGCGGCCAAGGCAGCAAATCAAGGCCCAAATCGCTGGCATTGGTGATTTGCCACTCTTGTTTACGTGATCACACTACTCTCTCGGAGGTATAATTACTTTTTCCTTTCCATACAATCCAAGTTCGTTATGGCTTGTACCTGGGAAAGCATTAAATATACATATATAAATA